CGCAGGGCATCCCGATCCAGGAAAGGGCGTAACTGGTGCACAACCCGAAGCTGTGCAAAAACCCTCCTGGCCACAGCTGCCACCCGCTTTTTTTGCAGGGGCCGGGAGTCCAGGAGGGCCCCCCAATTACGAAATGGGGATTTCCTAAGCCAAACTTCCTTATGCCTAAGCAACAATTTTTCGAAATTACTTGAAACTGTATTGATGAAATTGGCATTACAGCAGTTACTTCATTCATTCAAATTTGTTATAGCCATCCAACTCCAACAGACTCTGGGCAGCGTAGAGAACCAAAAAGTCCATAAAAACAAATGAAACCACCCAGGCAGCCCGAATGCATTCAGTTAGAAAAATTAGGTGGGAGTTTGAGAATTTTGTAAAGGAATTTGAAAGTTGTTTAATTAAAAATAATTTAGAAAATAATTATTTATTTTTAATTATGCGCTGTTCAGGAAAACTGAGCCTGAAATGTTTTAAATCCTCTTTTTTTTTTTTTTTTCCTCCTGAAGAGGATTGGACGGTAAGATCCACCCCAGCGGATGGTTTCTTCCCCGAAAACTTCACTTCAGAGCATCAGCTGAAACGTTCACCAGGAAGTTCGCAAGATAATGTTTTCCCTCCAGTGGAAGTGGGTGAGCATAATATATACCCCCCTGTGAGCATACCCAAAAGATTAGCTCTCTGCCCCAGGGAACTTACATTCTCATATTTGAAAAACCAGCCGTAGAGCCAGCAGGATTCAGAAGATGATGCCAGGCCTAACAATAGTTTGTATTCTCACCTGGATTATGTCTTGCATTAAGCCCAGTTTAGTTTGTTCTTGACTCAGTACAGTTGTGGAACTGATCACGGTGCAGGAAGAGACGTTTGCAGTTCTAGCAGTAATTCTGAAAGGAAGCTATCCATCCTACCTTTGCCTGGGAGTTTCTATGGAGGGGAGTCCATGTAGAGGCCAGTGGGAATGGCCTTGAAGGACCAGAGGAAGAAGCATTGGTCAGATAAGAGGGACTTGGGCCCTGGCCAAGAAAGTAATTTGAGAAAACGTCTCAGGCAAGTCCCTCCCTCGTTCTTACAAAGAGGGAGGGAGAGAGGGGGAAGCACATTCAGAGTTGCAAGATTCTGTTTGTTTATTTATTTTGCAAAAGTACTGGTGGCCTACATGGTGTTGGTTTCTTAGTCTGGTTGCCTGGCAAGGCTGAAAGTCCACCCCTTTCCAGACTTCTAAGATTTTTTCCTGTGTTCCAGCAGGAAACATCTGCAAGACCATTAAGGAGGAACCCACGGAGGTGTCTGTAACAAGACTCGAGCATCCAAATACAGAAGGGGCGTGTGCCAATAAGTGTTCCCTGTGTGGAAAGAGCTTCAGTTGCAAGTCTGACCTTACCAGACATCAGAGAACTCACACGGGCGAGAAGCCCTTCCGATGTTTCGAGTGTGGGAAGAGCTTCAGCCGCGGGGATTATCTGATTTTGCATCAAAAACTTCACCGAGGGGAGAGGCCGTACAAGTGCTCCGAGTGCGGGAAGGGCTTCTATCGAAGCACCCGGCTGATTTCCCATAAAAAGGTCCACCTCGCCCAGAAACTGTACAAGTGCTTCAGTTGCGGCAAGAGCTTCGGGGACCAGGCCAAGCTCGCCCAACACAAGCAGGCCAAGCACACGAACGAGAGGCCGCATACCTGTGCCGAGTGCGGAAAGAGCTTCCGCCGGAGCACGCACCTTACGAGGCACCAGAAGATTCACACCCGCAAAGCCCGGTATCGGTGTCTACAGTGTGACAAGACCTTCACTTGCCGCAAGCATCTTCTTTCTCATGAAAGGGTTCACACGGGAGAGAAACCGTATAAATGCCTGGACTGTGGAAAGAGGTTCAGCTTCAGCGGGAATCTCGCCTCGCACCTGAGAATGCACACGGGGGAGAAGCCATATTTATGCCTCGAGTGTGGGAAGAGTTTCAGCCGGAGCGCACACCTCACTTTGCATCAGAGGACCCACACAGGGGAAAAGCCATACACCTGCTTGGAGTGCGGGAGAGCGTTCAGCCAGAGCAGCAACCTGACCTCGCATCAGCGCATCCACACCGGGGAGAAGCCGTACGAGTGTCCCGTGTGTGGGAAACAGTTCTCGCGCGGCGACTCTCTCGTCTCTCATCAGAGAATCCACGCGGCAGAGATCATCTGACAGATCCGGGGTTTAAAAAGCTTTTGGCGCAGTGAGAAAAAAGGGAAAAAGAAGAAAGCTGACCCTTGCTTTGTGTCAAAGAATAGGTTTGCTTTAGAAACTTCTTCATTGTTACATACGTGGAGAAACAAAACGAGAAGAAAATTGTCAAGGAATAGTGTACTATATTTCATAGAGGTACCTACGAACTAAGCAGCGCCCTACTGGACTGGACCCCTGGCCACTCTATCATGTTGCAACATGGGATCTTAACAACCTGCTGTCTGTTGAAAGAGTTTGAAATATTATAAGAACTGCTGGATCGGACTCTGGCCCAACTAGTCTGGCAGTCTCTTCTCCCAGTGACCCACCAACCGCCCAGAGAGGCCCACCGGTCTCCCAGCAGATGGCCTTCAGAGGCAGACACCCTCCCATCAAGGCTAATAGTCATGGATCCACAATGGCTAAGTAGGAGATTCTCTTATGTCCCAAATCTTTTCAAACCCAGAGAGGTTCCATAGTTGCATATTCGGGTTTTGGGGTTTTTTTGGTGGGTAATTCAGAATCTTTTGTTGGTTGTAAGAGGGGGCAAACTGTATTTTTCGTCTCTTCCTGCAAGGTTATAGGTCATATATTTATGGCAAAGGATGAGACTGAGTCATCGGCCAGAAGCCACTTTGCAGCCCCTGGGGATTAAAAAACAAACACCCCAATGTTACGAAGTCTGAAGTTGGAGCAATGCATGTTAAAAGAAGAGGCTTTAACTAAGAGTTGGTTTGTTCTTATGGGGAGTTCTGTCGGTGATAACTTGAAAAGTCCTTCTAATGACCTTGAAGGAAGATTCCAGACATAGTTGCTGGATTCTTGCTGAGAGCGATGGATGCCTTGAACTTGGTTCAAAACACAGAATCAATCATTATCTTTGTTGATTACATATATATCTCACTGTCTTCCCAAGGAGACCATAGCAAGATACACATTCCCCCCCGCTCCATTCTATTTTTTTAAATCCCCCACAACATCCCTATCAGGGCAGGCTGGACATGAGAAAGTGGCTGGCTGAAAGTCACTTGGGGAGCTTGTGTGGGTAAATGGTTGTGAGAATCCATGTTTTCCTGACCCTACAGTGTTCTAATATTCATGTCAAGCAAACCTTCATTTGGTGTCCTTTACCCTCCTGGACAGAAATGAAGGGAATTTTAGTTGAAACCATAGAGATGAAAGGGACCTCAGTACAAGCTCCGTTGGGACATATCTGATGAATGACCATCCAGCTTCTGAAGACCTCCAGTGAAGGAGACCTCACAATTTCATGGGGCAGCCTGTTCCACTGTCTGACAGGAGGCGGTGGCTGTGATGCTGCAAGCCCAACTTAGGAGGGAATGCTTCCTCTCTCCTAGAGGAGAATGCCTCTTCTAATATGGCATCACCATTTGGTGCATTCTGATTTCTAACATTTCAGTCTGCTTTCTAGCTTCCAAACATTGGCAAACCTATTCTGTTCATCACTTTCCTCCATGTCCTTCATTTCATTCATTTACTCTCTTCCCTAGAGCTCAAGGCAGCAAACATGGTTTTCTTCTTACCCCAATTGTAAGACTGAGGTTGGAGGGAGGAAGCAGCTGTGAGCTTTATGCTGGATTTAAGAATTGGACCTTGGATCTTCCCCAAAGCAACAGTGCTCTAGCCCTCACACAATCAAATTTGTTCAGGAGCTAAGTGTTTCTTTAAGTATGTTTCATAAAACTGCTGTGATCCCCCAAGAATGTGAGTGGATCCCAAGAGAAGGGACTTGGAGGGTTGATTTTGGATCAGTTTCAGTTTCACCAGTGCAAGAAATATCCTTGCCATGACTGATGAGGCAGACCTGAAAAACCAGGTTGGAGACAGATCGTCATGGACAAAATCTATGTGGTCGCTAATGCCCGACAACAACTTGACGCACACAATCAACCAACATATTGACTCCAAAAACTTTGTCTCTGCATATGATTTCACATTCATCACAAGAATGCTGTGTGCATTTAGCAATCTGTTTATACCACAGTGTTCAGTGTTATTCCACTACAGTGGTACCTCTAGTTACGAACTTAATCCGTTCCGTGACTCTGGTTGCAACTCGA